AGAGGCAGGTGAATCTCTTGAGTTTGAGGCTAGCTTGTACTACAGAGCTAGTTCATGGGACAGCCAAGGCTATACAAAGAAACCCTGTCTTGAAACACCAAAAAAGAAAAGCAAAAAGTACAATAATTTTTCTTTGGAATTTCTGTTTTTGTTTTATATAATACAGGGTTACATGAGGCCATTTTCATGTAAATAAAATGTTTTAAGCCTTACACCCCCATCCTATTTCTCTCCTCTTTCTTACCCTTCTTAGTCCCCTTTGTTCCCTAGAAAGTCTCTTTTATTTATTTTTTATCTTTTGCTTTCATGTCATTTGTAAATACATGATTCTGTCTCTATAAAGCTTAAGACCCACAAAAAAAGAGAAAACATGCAACATTTACCTTTCAAACTGGCTGAGTTTGTTAGCATGGTCATCTCCAGTCCACACTGTACCGCCAGGAACCTGACTCTGCTGTTGTTGGCTGAAGGTTCCATTGTGCTCAGGCCATGTTTTCTCATTCGTCCTCTGCTGTTGTGAGTTAACACTTGTGTGCAGTGTGTCTGTGACATGCTGCTGTGGAGTCTTTGGGGAGCACAGGGAGTGGGCCATCTCTTAGATGTATTTTTTAATTTGGGGAGAACCTCTGTGCCAGTTTCCACTGTGGCTAGTTGAGTCCGTTTGCAGGCCATTCACTGGGGTCAGTCCACTGCCCACTGTGGCTGAGGACTCCTTGCTTTCTCTCCAATACTTGTTGTTTGTCACCCTTCTGACTAAGGTGAGACCCAATCTTTATGTAATTTTCATTGCTTCCATAGCTAGCAATGTTGAGCATTTTCTAATGTTTATTAGTCCCTGTTTGATTTTCACCTTTGAAAGCTGGTCATTCCATTGACCCATTTATTCATTGTGTGGTTTGATTTCCTATTCTTTAATTTCTTTAGTTGTATAATCTAGACATTAGTTCTGTCAGATTACAAAGATTTTATTTCATTCTCTTTACTGTCTCTTTGCTTAGTTATCTATTTCCTTTAATGTACAAAGGGGTGGTGGCCATGTTGTTTTTATGAGGTCCCATTTGTCAACTTTTGTCTGACCTACTTTCATGAGTCTTTGTTTTAACATCATGTTTGTAGGAGCATGACTTTATTTCTGTTGCACTGGTCTACAGGTCTGTTTCTGTGCCAGCACTTCAGTGTTTAGACTACCATGGTTCTGTAGTGCAGCTTCAAATTGGGTTGGGGTGAGAATGCCTTAACTGGTTTTTTGATGTTTTTAGGATGAAATGATTATGCCTTAAGAAGACCATGATCAAATGTGCTTGGGAATATCTGTCTCTCTGTCCACAGAATGATAGTGCATATTACTGTTGTATGGTGAGGGCTATGGTAGCCTTGTGGTGTTAGTTTGTAAATCTGTCACTGAATGTTATTTATTAACATTTCATCAAACATTAGCTTAGGAAACTGCTATTTTTATGCTGATGTGACACAGGAACAAAGACATTATTTTCTCTTTAACTCTAGTCAGAATTCTGCAAGAAGAAACATTAAAGCCGTTATTGTCTTCAGCCCCATTCTCTAGTGCTTCTAAGCTAAGTTCACTTAGTATTGCTCAATTTCTCCTGATCCAGTCATCAAGAAGCAACAATATTCCACAGCAATAAGCACTCCGAGTACCTGTGTCATTAGGAAAGTGTCTGATCGACCCTGGAACATCTAAGTGCAGTTATTGGGAGGGAGGGGGCCATAAACTTAGGGTGGTGATGCGTGTGCATGGTGAGTATCTCGTGCTCACCACTGAGTGCCAGCAGCAGAGATGATGTCACAGGGCTCCCTAGTGTCTAGTGGACTAACGGAAGTTTGCAGAGTAGGATAAGCTTTTCCCTACATTGCTTATTACACAAAGAAGGGAAGAAATAAATCAGCGTTATAGTGGAGTCATTGGGCAACATCTTGATTTGATAAATCAAAATTAACAGATAGAGCCCAACAAGTATCTCAGTTGATAAAGGTGCCTGACACTATGGTGAGATGATTCATTCCCTGGTTATGAATCATAACCAAGTTATGAAAGGAGAGAACTAACTCCTGAAAGTTGTCCTCTGGCCTTCATGTGTATGCTAGGCGGGAGGTGAGGAGGTGGTATGTGCACGTACACGCGCACATGTAGCAAAATGTAAAATTTTTAATTATCAGTTTTGAGAAACAGGTAAATATTATGTGCCTCCGCGTGTGATATTCTGAGGACTGAAAATGGTGTATCCTGTTGTAGTCAAATAGAGGAACAAATCAAAAACTTCACTTTTTTTTTTTAAGTGAAGAATGTGTTTTGTTTTATTACAGCTAGGGATTGAACCCAGGGTCTTATAGTAGATCCTTCTGCCACTGAGCTATATCCCCACCCAACAAGGCGTGTGCTACAAGATAAGGTGGTGGTGGTGGCAGCAATGGTGGTAATGATAAGAAACTCAGGAGGGCTAACAGTTTTAAAAGGTATCAGAGTCTTAACAGTAAAAATACTCCACTTTACAGGAGAGAAACACAACAACTAAAATCACAACTTCTGTAGTAGCTGGGACAGTCATTGAAAACTACTGATGAGTTAACAGAACTGAAATACAGGCTGCAGGTGAAATTATTGTCTTGGTCAAAGCCATTATTGTTGCTTACTCTCTAGTGACTTCGAAAATGAAAAAACAAATATGTATACATGTAGCTTGCATAGCTTCAGGTACACATGGGAATGAGATAATAAAACCTACAGCTTTTACAAATATAGATAAAGACACTCTGGTATTACAAAAGTGTTTTTATTTTGCAATGTGCAGAAATTTAGACTTTCGAAAAAAAAAGGGTAGGGGTGCGGGGCAGGGAGAGTTTGGTTTTCTTCCTGAGTGTGATGGCTCATACCTGTTACCCTAGCACTTGGGAGGCTAAGGCAGGGGGAGTGTCAGCCTAGGCTGCATAGTGAGTGAGTTAGATGGTACTTATGTCAAAACCAGACTGAGAAATTTCTCCTCAGCCCTAGAAAGTGTACTTTTCTGCAGGAATTATACTTGGTTCCTGTTTCACATAGAACTGTTTGGATGTGGGCAGACCTGCTTGTGCCCAGCTAATTTGAGTGTTTTCTTAGATAATAGATGCAGAGATTTTTCCTTGTCTGTGCTCTCACCAGTAATCAGAGAATTAAACGGGACATTTTAGAACCCAGTGGGTGAGCTTTAAGTTTCTGAAGTGTGCTGTAAGAAGTGGAATGGAGACAACAGTATGCTATCCACTGTACCAGAGCTCCAGACATGAGAGGATCTAGTGACTGCTGCTGTCAGTTTATAGTCCCTGTTAAAATAAGTTGATCAGATTTTATGTGGGATTGTACTCTTTGCACTTTGATTCATCTTGTAGCGTGTTCTTGTATGTAACATATAATACTAAGGGTTGGTTTTCTGTGTTTTAGTTTTTGTGGTTTTGAAGATCAAACCCAGGTCTTTATCCATGTGAGGCAAGTGTTGGACTACTGAATTGCACCTACAGCATGGTGGTTTTGTTGTTGTTGTTTTTTAAGATTTGCTTATTTTTATTTTATGTGAATGAGTATTTTATCTGCGTGTATGTATGTATGTGCATAACATGCATGGTGAGTTCTCATAGAGGGGTTCTGAGTCTCCTAGAATTAGTTATGGATAGTTATAAGGCTCTTGTAGGTAGAAACCAAACTCTCAGGTCTTTGTAAGAGCTGCAAGTCCTCTTATATGCTAAACTATCTCCAGCCATGTTTTGTTTTAGTTGTGCGTGTTTCTGGGCTTTATAATATAGTCGAGATACACAGTGTGATGGTTATCTAGCAGCAGTTGATTAACTGGGAGCTCTCTATACAGCCCAGGCTTGCCTCAAACTTGGAGCAAACTGACTCAGCCTCCTGATTACTGGGATCATAGGTATGGGCCACCAAGCTTGTGTGGTAGATGGAATTCCATTAAAGATAGGATGTACCTGTAATCCCAACCAACAATCTGGAGGTAAAGGAGGGGGCCACAGGTTCCAAGACAGCTGAGCTAGACAGTAGGACCTGTGTCAGGCTCCTGCACACACGGTGTTTCCATGTGTTGTCACTGTCAGCAGGAAAGTCAGAGGCCCTCAGGGGAATGGCACTGTGCTCTCTGGTGACATGATGGGAATCTTCCTGTCCAGTTCCATTGCAATTTCCTGACATTTAAAGATGATTTTTGTGTGTACCGGTGTGCTGAGTGTGTGATGTAAAGGTGATACTGGGCAAGCTGCATTCGTTCACATGAATGATTAAGCTTGTGGTGCTGATTGCTCTTGTGGTTTGCCCTAAAGAACAACATTTCCCAGGGAGCCTCTCGGTGAGGGCTGTATAGATAAGAGCCTAAATGTGCATTAAAAGCCTAAGAAGGCAGAACTCAGTAGTGGCCCCTGATCATTTATTTGGTTTTCGGGATGATCTGGGTCAACCTTCTAGAACTTTCTAGAGTGATGGATATGTTTTCTAATTTGTACTTTCTGGAACAGCCCCTTATCATCAGATACATGTGGGTATTTAACACTTGGAATGCAGCTAATGTGTCAGGGGCCGAATTTTAGATTTTACCTGATTAGTATAAATTTAGTCAGAATGATTAGGGGATAAACATCATTTGGTTAGAAGCAGAAAGAATCAAACGCTTTCTACCTCTGTCCCTCCATATAAAGGTCTCCAGAAGCCTGTTTATGGAGCAGTGACAGGCAATTGGAAAACAAGAAAAATCCTATGTAAAGTGTGGATGGCGAGTCCTGTGTGTGTTTTTTTTTTTTTATAGCTTTTTACTTACATTCAATTTGTCTTGGCTTCCAGTGTAGAAGACATAGCAGTAAGCCTAGCTAGCATGTGTGCGACTCTGAAGACAGACTCTAGAAGCCTTTGTTCTTTAGGAAGCCCAGGCCTTGCTTTCTGCAGCCATCTCTGTGGCGTCTGCTGGTGAGGTCACTCGGTAAATGATTGCTTATGGTTCCTCTGTCAGCTTTTAGTTTGGACGCTGAGCAGCCTGACTACGACCTGGACTCTGAGGATGAAGTGTTCGTAAATAAACTCAAAAAGAAAATGGACATCTGCCCATTGCAGTTTGAGGAGATGATTGACCGCCTAGAAAAGGGCAGTGGTCAACAGGTACAACTTCATTTCTGTGTGTTTGTGTGTTAATATAAATGCCTATATTATGTGAAACTATGCAGTATGGAGGACAGCTGGGCCAGCAGACTCGGAAACTAGAAGCATAAATTTATATCTGTCTAGTGTTAATCTGTATAATTTTGAGCACTATATTTTCAGTTTTTTGTGCCTCGGTTACCCCAGCTGTATGTAGAGAAAAAAATAATAAACTGGAGGGAACATGGTGACACATACTTTTAATCCCAGCACTTGGAAGGCAGAGGCAGGCAGGTGGATCTCAGTGAGTTAAAAGCCAGCCTGCTCTACATTTTAAATTCCAGGTCAGCCAAGGCTGACCCTATCTCCAAATCAAAAAAGTCTTCAACTGCCATTTGTGTTTTTAGTGATCAAGTAGAACGTGACTAATATCAAATCCTAAAGTCAGGAAACACAGCAAGCTGTGTGACCTGTGAAATTTGATGAGCTCGTTGTAAAGATTGAACACACAAGGAGTCAGCTAGTACAATACTTGCCTAGCGTGCACATTGGGCTTGTTCCCCAGAACCATGTAAATCAAGTGTGGTGGTGGTGGTGTGCACCTATCTTGATTCCAGCACTTGAGAGATGGCAGGAGGATCAGAATTGTGTTTAAGGTCATGCTCAACAAATTCAAGGCTAACCTGGGATACTTGAGACCCTGTTTCAGAAAACATACTATCATTACTATTATTGACTTTATTGTTATCATTTAAATGAAGCAGTAATGAGTAGTTTTGAGTCCTTGCATGTATGTTTTATGAAAGTGACATAATGGTTTTACATTTAGCCAGTCAGTCTGCAGGAAGCCAAACTACTGCTAAAAGAAGATGATGAGTTAATTAGAGAAGTCTATGAATACTGGATTAAAAAGAGGAAGAACTGTCGAGGGCCATCACTTATCCCATCGGTAAAACAGGAAAAGCGAGATGGTTCTAGCACAAATGATCCCTATGTGGCTTTTAGAAGACGAACTGAAAAAATGCAAACTCGAAAAGTAAGTGAATTTTTAAATTTTTAAGAAAAACTGTAGTTATTGATATCTTTTATGGCTTAATCTGTGCTTTCATATAGCAGTCCAAAAATTACACTAGAAGGGTTTCCCAGTGGTTCAGAGTACTTATTTTTCTATCAGAGGGGACAGTGTTGTGATTCCTGTGCCCTTATCAGGCAGCTCATGCTCACCTGTGACACCTGCCCCGCGGGATCCAGTGATCCACTTCTGACCTATGGGCACTTTAACACACACACGCACAAAGTTCCGTTAATCCCACTGGAAAATATTAAATAAGTTGACCTTTAATTTTTATGGGGGCCTTAATAATGCATATTAATACTGGCTCACTAAAAAAAATTATGTATAGAATTGATAACTCTGTGTTCCCTTCCTGTGTCTTTAAACTGTAACCCTGCAGATGCATACATTCTATGTACAGCTAGTTAGAAGTACTTCTTGAAGTTAAGCAAACAACTTTATATTTTCAGAACCGCAAAAATGATGAAGCCTCATATGAAAAAATGCTTAAGCTGCGTCGGGATCTCAGCCGGGCTGTGACCATCCTGGAGATGATAAAGAGAAGAGAGAAGAGCAAGCGGGAGCTGCTGCACCTGACACTGGAGATCATGGAAAAGAGGTGACGTCATGTTCGTGTGTAGGGACTGATGGAGAACAGCTCGTGCTTTTCCTGATTATTTGTGATTATAGGAGTAGCTTCTTTAAGTAATAGAGACGGTGATTAAACTTGGTGAAATTTTATTCACAATTTTGCCTTAATTTTCTCACAGTAATTTGGTTCACAGGTGTTTCTATTGAGAAATTCTTTTCTTTTGAATCATTTCTGTGGTTGTGTGAGGCAGAGTAGAGAGTGTGTGTGTTGAATACTGGTTCGTTTGGGGGGTTGTGGCTTTGTGGGGGATTTTTAAGTACTAGAGGTGAGACCCTGGGGGGACATTGTGCACTGTAGGCAAGCCTGTTGCAGTTAAGCACCAGATGTTCATAAATTTTAACACTCAGATGACCACTTGGTGAGGTAGAGAATAAAAGCTCCAGGTCTCAGGGCCCTGCTTCTCAGTTCCTCTCCCCCCAGGGGGGAAAAATCACTTAAGTTTCTTGTGATTCATTTAGAAAAAATACTTTGTAGCACAGCCTGCCCTAATTAGCAGGGGTTCCTCGGCAGTGCTTGAGGCACCTCAGCCTTGGGATTCTTCCCCCAGTCACTTTGTGCACCAGCATAAGGCTGCAGGGCTCTGGATTTCGCTCCACCACTAAAGTGCTCGCCTGGCAGGCACGGAACTCTCAGTGTGAGCCCTGGCACCACATGGTCCGTGTATGGCTGCCATGGCCTGTAGGAGGTGTGGACACAGGAGAGTCCAAAGTTCAAAGTCAGCACCTAGATGACATCTCACCACCTTCTGTAAATTGAGTTCCCAGGAACCCAGTGTCCTCTCTGGCCTCCATGGGGAAGGTACACACGCAGTGCGCAGACATGTATGTAGGCAAACCACCCATATGCATTCAAGGTCACCAGTGCATACACAACCAGCCTCAGATACATGCCTCAGAAGAGTAGTTCATCCCACCTGAGGCAGATACACAAGGTAACGGGGAGAGGAGGGGTGTCTTGGATTAGTTTGGTTTATAGATCATTTCATAGTGTTTATGGAAAAGATCCATTATATGTACCGCTAAGTTTCTTCTCTGTCATTTCAGGTATAATTTAGGTGACTACAGTGGAGAGATCATGTCCGAGGTCATGGCCCAGAGACAGCCGGTGAAGCCTACGTATGCCATCCCCATCATCCCTGTTGCTAACAGCAGTCAGTTCAAACACCAGGAAGTCGCGGACGGGAAGGAGTTCAAAGTTCATAAGGTGATTAGGACTTGGTAACAGGAGAAATAAGTCAGTTCTACAGTAAGGTGTGCTGTACACTGGAAGGAAAACTAGCTTCTCATGACAGTTTCATTCCTCCTTCTCTTACTCCTCACAGGATGAGGGAAGGCCTTGTTATAGGTCTGCTGACAAAGGGGGTTTGCTGTAGGGGATATGAAGTGTCAGTGTGATTCACAGTGCGGAGACTTGGAGAGAGCACAAAGCCTCCTGTCGTCGTAATGTCTGTGACACATCTGTGTATGAGAGGGAGAGAGTCGATCAAAGAATCTTAACATGGGGAGTGGTGATATGACTTGCTGATACTTACCCAGATAGTTCACGTGTGTGAAGGATAAAATTGGTGAGGAAGAAATAAATTAATAAGGGGAAACCAGGGAAATAAAAGATTGTGCCTTTTTGAAAATGTGCCTTAGCACACTTTCCCTTTAACCCCAGCATAGGGGTGGCGAGGGGCACAGAGGCAGGCGGGTCTGTGTGTGTTTGAGGCCTGTCTTGGTGTTAGGTGGAGACATACACAAAGTGCTCTTGTAGGGGACCTGGGTTCAGTTCCCAGCACCTACATTGGATGACTTACAACTCTGTAATTCAGTTCCAGGAACCTAACTTTCTATGGCCTTCAAAGGCACCTGTACACACATACACATACATTTTAAAAATATTGTAAGCATATCTTTGTTTTGAACAGAGAAAATGTAGATTGGAAAACCTGAGCCTTTTTAATAGTGTAGCAGTTGGCTCCCCAGCTAACAATAACTAAATTATTAACTGAGGCTGCAGGTTGTCGAGTGTGGCTTCTGTGTGTAACCGATTCATGTCTGTGTTGCAGCAAGATAAGGCCGATCTTACTCGGCCGAAGCGCAAATATGAAAAGAAGCCCAAAGTCTTACCCCCGTCTGCCATTGCTCCTCAGCAGCCAAGCCCCGCTGCACTGCCAGCCTTCAGTGCTAAAGACTTGAACCAGTATGACTTCCCCAGCTCGGACGAAGAGCCTCTGTCCCAGGTAAACAGAGGAGCAGCTCCCTGCATTCAGAAGAGGAGTGTAGACGCCCACGTGTTTGACCTCTCATTGCTTTATTTCAAGGTTTTGTCTGGCTCTTCGGAAGCCGAGGAAGACAATGACCCTGATGGCCCTTTTGCTTTCCGCAGGAAAGCAGGCTGTCAGTACTATGCTGTAAGTGTCAGACTTTCTTTGTAAAGAACAAACAGCAGATAAACTGACGAAATACAATAATTTGGATTTTTTTTTTTTTAAGCCTCATTTAGACCAAACTGGCAATTGGCCCTGGACTAGCCCTAAAGATGGAGGACTGGGGGATGTTCGCTATAGATACTGCTTAACAACTCTCACCGTCCCCCAGAGGTGTCTTGGATTTGCACGAAGACGGGTTGGGCGCGGTGGAAGGTAACTCACTTCTGCTTTCCTTGCATCACGTGCTTTAGACATTGAAATCAGAGTTTGAACTGAGGCCTCCTTGTTGAGCAGGCTGTAGCCGCTCCAGCTTGCTGTGCATGCTCCCCTCAGTTCTCCCGCCATCCTCACCTACTGCGCAGTTCTGATGGACCCCACGTAGGTTCTTTTCTCCCCCAACTTCTTAACATCTAAACTCAGTTATCACAGGCTAAAATCCTAAGAAAGGACAAGTGTAAATTGTGTTTACACACTGAGGATTTGGTTCAGGAAACTACAGAAAAAAAAAAAAGTCGTTGAATTCTGGGGAGAAGGTGGCATTCACTACTTGAGTGATTAACTCTTCTGTCCATGGCCTCGGTTGGTCAGGGTCTGAAGTAGAATACCTTCATGCATAGAGAGGAGGAAAGAAGGAGCCGCAAAGCACAGGAAAATTTTGGTTGAAAGACAAAGAAAGAAATTTTAATCCAACACTGAGGTTTGAGGCTAAAAGAACCAGAGCCAACAAGATGGCTCAGTGGAAAGAGGCCCTTGCCACCAAGATGACAGCTGAGTTCTATGCCAGTACCTACGTGGTGGAAGGAGAGAGCCGACTCCTGAAAATTATCCTCTGACCTCTGCATGTGTGCTATGCCACGTGCCCTGTGCCATGCACCCTCTGTGTAAAAGAGCTAAATACTTCAGTGATGAACAGTATGGCTTTTAAATATTCAGTATACTTTTATTCAGCTTTTGGGGCTTTCGGGAAAGGAAAAAACCTCTTGATGTAATCTCTGACGTCTGCTCCTTGTGCAGGGTCCTGCTGGACAGAGCGCATTCAGACTATGACAGTATGTTTCACCACCTGGATTTGGACATGCTTTCCTCACCACAACCTTCTCCAGTCAATCAGTTTGCCAATACCTCAAAAACCAATACCTCGGACAGATCTTCCTCTAAAGACCTCAGTCAGATACTAGTCGATATCAAATCATGTAGATGGCGGCACTTTAGGCCTCGGACACCATCCCTACATGACAGTGACACTGATGAACTCTCCAGTAGAAAATTACACAGGAGTATAAACCGAGCAGGAACAGCACAGCCTGGGACCCACACTGGCACCTCCACGCAGAGTAAAAGCAGCAGTGGCTCCACACACTGTGGTACGTTCCTTTGTGGCTTCCATTGCTATGTCAGGGCCGGGTATTCCAGCTTGTTGAGTGTGGCCCGTTATGCTGTAGATGCCTTAAGTAGCGCTTTGAATTCTGCTCAATGGCATTGTTGCTGTGTGAGTTTGTGTGTGTGTCCTTCCTTAACCACAATCACAAAGAGATGGTGTGTTATAGTTAATGTTTAATTGGTTACCTCGAGGCAGTCAATGAACCACAAGACTCATAAATTTAATTTTCAAGTAATAAGAAAGTAAAAGGGACCCCAAGTTGGTGGTGTATATTTAAACACCTAATCTGCTCTAAATTTAGGGGCCAGTAGTCAGTAGCTACACATAACTTGCTGACATAGTCATTCAGAATACATGCGAGAGATACTTAATTTTAATCCTTTGGAATGACTTTTAGATAATATTTCGGTACGATTTGAGTAAATACTGAAAATACTACAATGTCCTTGGCTTTCTTTTTTAAATCATTTGAGTCCTCATTATCTAAATTATGTAAGTTCACTATCAAGATGATGGCTCAGCTGGTCCAGGTCCTCAGCATCACGCCTGACAACCTGAGTTCAGTTCCCAAGACCCACACAGTAGAAGGAAAGAACCCATTTGTTCAGGTTGTCTTTTGACTTGCATACATGTATGCATGTACACACACAAGTACATAAATAGAGCAAAAGGGGGCTGGAGAGATGGCTCAGTGGTTACAAGCACTGACTGCTTCTTCCAGAATACCTGGGTTCAATTCCTGGCACCTACATGACAGCTCATAATTGTCTATAATTCCTGTTCATAAGGCTCCAACACCCGCACACAAGCAAGCCAATGTATGTGAAATAAATATAAATAAATTATTTTAAAAATAAATACAATAAATGAGTAAATATTAATTGTTTATTTTGATTTTAAGATAGGGTCTCTGGCTATCCTGGAATCCACTTTGTAGACCAGGCTGGTCTCGAACTCACAGATATCTGCCTGGCCTTTTAAATTATGTTGTTTAAGCTCTTCTAGGCTAATTTTGATACAGATTTTAAAAAAAAAAAAATGATTGCTTCCATAATTACCCATTTAGGTTACAGTTAAAGTGCTTTCTAAGCATGAGAATTTGCTGTCATTTTCAGAAGTCTTCAGAAAATACTTCATAAACTAATTTACTTGTTAGTTATTTAAAAAAAAAATAATTCTGTGAACTGACCAAACTTGAGAATCAGTTGGAAAATATGTTTCTGGGGTTTAACTGATTGTAGTTTCACTAATTTTAGTGATTGTTTCTCTGTCCTGTATAGTCCTTAACATCAGGCTGCAGGGCTGTTTGACGTGGAGGCTTAATTAATAAGCGTAATAGGAGAGTTTAGAAATGTAAGCTTGTACTAACTGCCCAAAAAAATAGTTTAGAAGATGTATAAATTTTTTGGAACTTTATAGAGAAAATAGCCATGTTCCATCAATCCACATCATGTCCCTCCTAAAGTGCAGACACTGAAGCGTGTAGCAGACTCCAGTCCCATCCTGACTGTTCTATGGAGGTAATTTACTGCACGGTGCTTATGTGGACATGGTGTCAGTTGCAAACTTTCCTGGTTTATTTCTCAAGTATCATGAAAAGATGAACATCAGCTGTAGCAAAAGTTCACCAAAAAAAAAAAAAAACCTAATACTCATGTAGTTTTGCATCTTAATCACTGTTTTTTTTTTGTTTGTTTGTTTTTTGTCAATGGGGCTTCTTGAAATGCTGTATTTCCGCATATACTTAAAGAATAAACGCCAACAGACTACACTCTGCTTTCATGCTTGTGAATATCCATGAGATCTTGGCACTCTTTCTGTGGCTCCGTAAATTACGTCAAGTGTACATTCAACATAGTGAATTCAGCTAGCAGCCCCCAAAACCGGAAAAGAAGACCTAGCTGTTGACGTGATCCATGGGAGTTGGAGCACATTTCTCCTTAAAGAAAGCATTCTCCAGGGCTGGAGAGATGGCTCAGAGGTTAAGAGCATTGCATGCTCTTCCAAAGGTTCTGAGTTCAATTCCCAGCAACCACATGGTGGCTCACAATCATCTGTAATGGGGTCTGGTGCCCTCTTCTGGCCTGCAGGCATACACACAGACAGAATATTGTATACATAATAAATAAAAAAAAATGTTAAAGCCTAGAGGCTCTAATTTAAAAAAAAAAAAGAAAAGAAAAGAAAAGAAAAGAAAAGAAAGCATTCTCCAAACGGGAATCTCATTTGATATTGGCCTGCAGAGTCCAAATATGGCCTCCTAGGCCAATCATCTCACTCCATTATACTTGCAGTTTGAGAAACAATTTTCCTTTGCACCATAACCCCCAGATGTAAGCCACGTTTGGTACCAAAGAAACCTGATTTAGTCGATGCCGGAGGAAACACTGGCTATACTGAGAGACTGAGTCTCTTCTAGCCATCCTGTCAGATGGGAGTCGGTTAACATATTTTCCTGCTGCTTAGACTAAATGATGGTTTAAAATGGAATCACTTTTTGATTATTCAATTATGATTCAAGTAATTGAAATTGATACTTACAGACAGCACCACCAGGCTCCTTTTCTAAGCAGTTAGTTTTGAACCAGAAGCTCTGCATGGAGGCGTCATGCGTCCACTCATTTCCTTGAAGAGTGCCCAGTTGTATAGTTTGTTCCTACTGCTTGGGGTGCCAGTCTTGGCCGTTTCCCAGGCTGTGCAAGCAAGAGAAGGGCCTGAGTAGGACGTGTGTGATGTTGGGTAGCCTCTGCGGCGGTGTCAGGGAATCCTGTGTCCCCTTTGTTCCGTGTAACAGAAGGGGCATCGTGGAAAGACTTGCTGGTTGGGATTTAGAATTTCTAGGACTAGCTCTAATTAAGGATCAGTTATTTCTTCTTAATAATCATTAGTTAATATGTGATTTGGATTGTTTCCAAATAGCTTTCTAGGCTTTTTCATCTATACCAGCACTTTTCAAATTCAGTACACATTCATTTTGTGCATTTGAAATTGAAAGGATATCAAATTACCATAATTAGATGAGACTCTGTTACAGGGGCTATCAACATGGCTCAGTAGGTAAAGGCTGCTTGCTGCCAAGCCTTCCCTCCTGAGTTCTATCCCCAGTACCCACATGGTAGAAGAAGAGAATCAAGTCCCACAAGTTGTCCTTTGTCCTCCTGGTGCACTTGCATACTCTGTCTCTCTCGTAGAGAGCAAGAGAGACACAAACACACAGAGACAGACAAGAGGGAAGGAAGTGTCTGTGTGTGTAGATGTCTCCCATTCCAGTGATGCACCCTAAGATCCTAGCTTCAGTGGAATTCAGCATCATTGGAAGTGGTTTATCTAAACTCATGCCATCTGTAAAAATCTGCTTTATTTCTGTGACAGACATTCTGTGCATACAATTATTATGTTTGGCTTAATCTGTGTGTGAAAGGGACTGTAGTCTTTGCACTGATGGTATTACATTTGTAAGTCTCTAGGACTCTAGGCTTTATTCAAAGACTTGCTAATCCAGAATCTGTTGTGGAAGCTGCACTGTGAGTTCAGCAGGTGTATGTATATGTTGCAAGGGCAGTCACTGAAGGATCTTGCTTAGAAAGCTTCTCCATATGTTGTGCCAAAAGCTGCCTCAAACAAGTTCAAACTCGTCACAATGTCTCCACTGTCACACTGTCTTCCAAAAATCTGAAGTCACATCCCACGTCCTCCTCTGGCCCAGGTCTGCTTTTACTCCACACGATGACCTTCCCACATTACGCTCTGCTCGTCGGGTACCCTACATGTGAGGATTTTTTTTTAACATGTTGCTCATACAGGTGAATTGTTAAGGTTTTTATTATATCTTGTAGATTCTAAATCTAAAGTTATTTTTTTCTCTGTTTTAAATTTGAAGTCTAGCTAACTTGTGATGGTGGTAGTTCTTTCTCTATGCTTTGTGACTTCAGAACCTCAGTCTTCATCTCCAGTGTGAGGTTACAGGAGGAAGTCAGGTACCAAGGGCCTCTCCTGGTTGTAGCCCTTTTGTTTCTGCAGAGCAGTTGTGAGTCTAGATTTGCTTGATTGGGTTTGCCCACCATTTGTAAGTGAGCTAAATTTGATTGCTACACTTTTTCTGAGGAAGATATATAACTGGAAACTTTTTGCCTTGGTGCCCCTGTTCATTAGTAGAAACTTCAGAAAGTATGGCCACTTGGAGTGCTTGTTTAGACCTTGGATATAAAATCAGCTCACGTTTTAATTATCCACATTCGCTACCTTACCTTTGTACAAATTCACGTCCTTTGATCTTACTTCTGAGAGGGAGCTAAGATGACTTTGGCAGTCCCCTCGCTTAATTCTTGCCACATTTAAATGAAGACGCAGACCCACAAAAGGTGGCATGCTCTTTGAAGATTCTGTTTGTGATGGGCTTTATCGCTCCACTGCCAGTCTGGTTGTTGCTCTGTTACTTACAGATCATTTACCAGAAACATCCAGGCCAGATTTTACAACTAGAACAGCCATCTCAGATATGGAGTTGACTGACCAAATCTTATCTCTGCATCTGCATCAGCGGGAGACAGATGTTAAAATGAGATTGACTTGCCAATCTGCAGAAACTAGGTGAACTTGATTTAACTAGGGCAAAGCATTTGTTAATTACCACTAAATGCTCAACTAAAACACAAATATCAAAGATACACAAAAGAATTTTACAGGAAAAGGGTGTTGTAATATGAACACTTCTGTTTGCTTTCACTCAGATTGGAGGTCTTGAGTGAATGCTGAATTATGATTTTTCTAAGTATGTAATGACCTGATCCTTCTAGAAGTATTTTTTTAATTACTAAATATTCCCTATTGGATAAGTAAAGGAAGTTAAAGTATAACTTTCAAACCCATTGTTTAAAAAATAATATCTAATAAATTAGGTATCTTAAGGTTTAAGCAGTTGTTTTCTATAAATAATCATGTTCACTATGAACCTGCATTTCAGGCAGCATTCATTTTTGTAGGTTTTTCATGGCTTTGACCCAGCTCACTTCTATTACCTGTTGATGTGTTCATGACTTATGTCAGCATTTAGGGAACATCCTAACATAAGTAAGGCCTCCCATAGAATATTGGCTTGATCTGTAGCTTACACGAGGTGGATGCCAATTAAATGGAACTGTAGCACACACAGAGGAAGACCAGCAGGAGCACTTCTCCAGTGCAGTTCAAGAATGTGTGTAGGTGCTAATAGTTGTACGGGGCTTTCTTAAGCCCTTGGCTTCCAGGTCCATTTGAAGTGTGGTGGGAGTGTTAGCTGTCGTCTCCTGGTAGCAGGCAGAAACGCGGTCCTGGGGGTTAGTAAAGATCCCGCCCAAGTTACAGTGAAAATTAGAAAACTGGATGGGCTGGGAGGCTGACATCATAGCAAACTGGGTTAGTGTGTCTGCAGAGTCGAGCTCTGGAACTTTGGATAGGTAGTAGGTGCCCTGGTACCTGGGGATAAACTGGTTTTTGGTTTTTGTTCTTCCTCCTCAGACAGAAAAAGTGTCTTTAAGGAAGCCCTTGCAGTCAGGTGGTTCTGGGATTGTGTGCTTTTCTTTTTTTTCTCCCCTCCCCCCTTTTTTTAAAACTGACAAAAGGAAAAGAATAAAGAAACAGGTTTCCTTTTTTAAACTGCACACACTTTTGGGGGTAATAAATGAACATTTTTTTGTTTGTCTTTTTTAGAACTGAGCTCTCCATAGACACACATAAATAGCATAACACAGTGTCTTTCCTCAGCCATCACTCTGTACAGTAATCAGCATAACTCCGTTCTTATTGACTGGATTTTGTCCAGGTGGGTTAACTGGGTGGGGAAAATTCATTAACTTAACATTGGAACTTCTTCCTGTTAAAAGATTCGTTCTCGTTCTCTCTCTCTCTCTCTCTCTCTCTCTCTCTCTCTCTCTCTCTCTCTCTTTCTCTCTCTCTCTCTCTCTTTAAGTCATAAGCTGTCCAATTTACCTTTTATTAAAGGAAACCTTTGTAATGACTAAGATAAGAAGCTATGTAGACAGCGCTCTTGGGACGGCCTGGGCGCCTTGGCGTGGCAGTCTGGATAAACCCCAAGTGGATGGTGGTCACCAGGTTTCACCTCATGCTCAGCACAGAGTGCATCTCCAAGCCTGTGGACTGACAACGCAAGAGCACTTTCTACACTGTCTGGCACGAGTGTCACAGCTCTAGAAAAGCTAGTTTCCTGTGTGTGACTCAGGAAGCTTCGTTTTCTTTCTTTTTTTTCTTTAAATTGAAGCCACTTTTGTTAAATGTGACGGAAAAAGCTGGGGTTTTCATCTAGAAGTGATCTCTAGCAGGATCATGTCTATTCAGATGCTTCAATTTTGCACAAAACCGTCCTTTTCTGATGCTGGATTTTTTTAGTGTCGTAAGGTGTCTGTGGTGCCTGCATTTCTGTGAATCGTCTCCTTGTTTTATGTTCAGCATTCACAGCCGAACAATACCAGCAGCACCAGCAGCAACTGGCACTGATGCAGCAGCAGCAGCTTGCACAAACTCAGCAGCAGCAAGCAAACAGCAACTCCGCCACCGCCGCGCCACAGGTGAGGGCTTGTGTGTCGTATGACTGTCCTCACTGAGTGTTGTCCTAGAACCTTGCATCTAACCAGCAGAAAAGTGGCTTTGGCCTGAATGTACAGGGTTTAGAAAGAACATTCCAGGTGAGTGTGGAAGCTGTTCCTTCTGCTGCCCATAAGAGCATAAGAGCACAGTTCCCCTAACTGGAAGTTGCTGCAGCCCTCCCTGGAGTCCGTACCGGCCCTGTCCGCAGCCTAGAGCCCTGAGCAGCTCACTCTGCAGTTTCAGAATTAAACCCAAACCTCTTCTACTCTTTAAAACCACTTTTAAACTTAAAGCATGGAAATCATGCATAGATAGATTTGGGACTAAAAGACCGAGAATTGAGTTTTCTAGGCATCTTAAAGGGAATTTCCCAAGAGGCTTCTTAATTTTTAAATTAAATTATATCATATCTTACTTTTTTACTAAGGGATGATTGTCTTACTATTTCAAAGATGTCGTGGCTGGGCAGTGGTGGCACATGCCTTTAATCCCAGCACTCAGGAGGCAGAGGCAGGTGGATCTTTGTCAGTTCGAGGCCAGCCTGGTCTACAAGAGCTAGTTCCGGGACAGGCCCCAAAGCTACAGAGAAACCCTGTCTCGAAAAACAAACAAACAAAAATGTCTTTGGTTATGTATAGGTTGTATATGAGCAGGGAGGTTGGGTAAGGGGAGGGCGGGAGATAGAGAATAGGTGTAGAGGTTACATAGACGCTCTTACATATTTGCCTTATGTATTTGTCTAGCACTGAACTGTTTGAGAAATATATTTCTAACCGCTCAGTTGGACTTTTTGCTGTTATTGCATTCTGTACTAAAGGCTTTATTTTGATAATTGCCTTATGTATTCTATATTGTCTTATAGGATGCTCAGACGTACAAACCTTTAGACAGTGAGCTTTCCTGTCTACTAGAAGAGACTAAGGTTTCAGTGGCTATCCAGCTCTTAGTGCTGTGGAAGCTGATTTTGAGGCCAATACACTGATGACCTTTCTTTGGTGTTTTCTATCCAGGGTTTTGTTTCTAAGACTTTGGATTCTGCTAGTGCACAGTTTGCTGCTTCTGCTTTGATGACGTCAGAACAGCTGATGGGATTCAAGATGAAGGATGATGTGGTGCTTGGGATCGGGGTGAATGGCGTCCTTCCAGCCTCAGGTGAGGACAAAGGCTCTGCATGGCCCCGTGGGATTGACATGCATACATGCTTATACACATAGACACAGGCACCAAATGCAGTGTTGACGTACTTTGTTTCTCTCCCCAGGAGTATACAAGGGCTTACACCTCAGCAGCACTACACCAACAGCGCTTGTACATCCGAGTCCGTCGACAGCAGGTTCAGCTTTGTTACAGCCTTCAAATATCACACAGACTTCAGGTTCCCACAGTGCACTGAGTCATCAAGTAACTGCTGCCAATTCTGCAACAACTCAGGTTCTGTTTGGGAACAACATTCGATTAACTGTACCTTCATCAGTCCCCACTGTAAACTCTATCGCCCCAATAAACGCACGACATATACCTAGGACTTTAAGTGCTGTTCCATCATCTGCCTTAAAGCTGGCTGCTGCGGCAAACTGTCAAGTGTCCAAGGTCCCTTCGTCATCCTCTGTAGATTCAGTTCCAAGGTGAGTAGTTATTCTAAGCTTAAAATGTTTGAGCAGTAAGGCCCCTAACTTCAGCCTTCTGGAATGGCTGAGTTTTTTCTTCTTTCCCTTCTGTGTATGGAAAATGTGTGCATATAAGTATCCCTTGTTTGTTAAATAAGTAGATGTTGTGATTCTGTGTTAGTTGACTTCAGCTCTAGTTGAGAATGAGCCAGTCCACTCAGTGAGATAGTGAATGTTGCTTATGTGACTTGGGTCTCTCTGTCTCTCTGTCTCTCTCTCTGTCTCTCTCTCTCTTTTTCGTTTAACCATTTATTGTCTCTTTTATAGTTTGGGGTGCTAGACAGATAATTTTGCTATAAGAATACTCAATATCTTTTGGAATAACTATTTTTTGTCACTACAATTTTTTTTATTGATATTGAGCTCTATATTTTTCTCTGCTCCCCTCCCCCAAGGACCCCATGCTCCCAGTTTACTCAGGAGATCTTGTCTTTTTCTACTTTCTACTTCCCATGTAGATTAGATCTGTGTGAGTCTCTCTTAGTGTCCTCATTGTTGTCTAAGTTCTCTGGGATTGTGATTTGTAGGCTGGCTTTCTTTGCTTTATGGTTAAAAACCACCTATGAGTGAGTACATGTGATAATTGTCATTCTGTGTCTGGGTTACCTCACTCAAAATAATGTTTTCTAGCTCCATTTTCTTGCAAAATTCAAAATGTGGTTATTTTTTTCTCCATTGTGTAAATGTACCACATTTTCCTTATCCATTCTTTGGTCGAGGGGCATTTAGATTGTTTCCAGGTTCTGGCTATGACAAACAATGCTGCTATGAACATAGTTGAGCACATGTCCTTGCGGCACAATTGAGCCATCCTCTGGATATATACCCAAAAGTGGTATTGCTGGGTCTTGAGAAAGGTTGTTTCCTAATTTTCTGAGAAATCGCCACACTGACATCCAAAGGGGTTGTACCAGTTTGCATTCCCAACAGCAATTCAGAAGTGTTCCCTTTACCCCACATCCTCTCCAGCATAAGTTGTCATCAGTGTTTTTGATCTTGGCCATTCTTACAGGTGTAAGATGGAATCTCAGAGTTGTTTTGATTTGCATTTCTCTGATGACTAAGGATGTTGAACATTTCCTTAAATGTCTTTCAGCCATTTTAGATTCCTCTGTTGAGAGTTCTCTGTTTAGGTCTGTACTCCATTTTTTTAAATTGGATTTTGTGATCTTTTGGTGTCCAATTTCGTGAGTTCTTTGTATATTTTGGAGATCAGACCTCTGTCTGATGTGGGGTTAGTGAAGATCTTTTCCCATTCTGTAGGCTGTCGTTTTATCTTGTTGACTGTATCCTCTGCTTTCCAGAAGCTTTTCAGTTTCAGGAGGTCTCATTTATTAATCGCCAGCACCACTTATTAAATATGCTTTCTTTTTTCCATTTGATATTTTTTGCTTCTTTGTCAAAAATCAGGTGTTCAACGATGTGTGGATTGATATCCAGGTCTTCTGTTCGATTCCATTGGTCCTCCTGTCTGTTCCTATGCCAATACCAGGCTGTTTTTAGTACTGTAGCTCTGTAGTAGAGTTTGAAGTCAGGGATTGTGATGCCTCCAGAGGTTCTTTTATTGTTCAGGATATTGTTTTGGCTATCCTGGATTTTTTGCTCTTCCATATGAAGTTAAGTATCGTTCTTTTGAGGTCTTTAAAGAATTTTTCTGGAATTTTGATGGGCATTGCATTGAATCTGCAGATTGCTTTTGGTAAGATTGCCATTTTTACTATGTTAATTCTGCCTACCCAGGACCATGGGAGATCTTTCCACTTTCTGGTGCCTTCTTCAATTTCTTTCTTCAAAGATTTAAAGTTCCTGTCATACAAGTCTTCCACTTGTTTGGTTAGAATTACTCCAAGATGTATTATGCTATTTGTGGCTATTGTGAAGGGTGTTGATTCTCTTGATTTCTTTCCCAGCCCTTTTATTATCTGTGTACATGAGGGCTACTGACTTTTTTGAGTTAATCTTATATCCTGCTACATTGCTGAAAGTGTTTATGAGTTGTAGAAGTTCCTTGGTAGAATTTTTGGCATCAGTTATGTAAACTATCATATCATCAGCAAACAGTGAGAGTTTGACTTCTTTTTTCCAATTTGTATCCCCTTGATCTCCTTTTTGTGTCTTTTGCTCTAGCTAGGACCTCAAGTCTTTTTTTTTTTTAATAATTTATTTTTATTTTGTTTGCATTAGTGTTTTGCCTGCATGTATGTCTGTATCACGGTGATACAGATCTTGGAGTCATGGACAGTCATTAGCTGCCGTGTGGGTGCTTAGAACTGAACCCAGGTCCTCTGAAAGAGCAGTCAGTGCTCTTAACTACTGAGTCATCTCTCAAGCCCATGGGTCCTCTCTTACTACAACAATAACTTTGAATGTTCCGCTCTTCTCCAGGCATTGGGTGGAAGGTGTTTTCTTTAGAATATTAGTGTTGTGGATTTTGTCTGTAGCTTACTGTGTGATTAGGATTGGTAAACCTTCCCTCCCTAATCTTAATAGTTGAAATGATGTCAGTGCCTAGTAACATTTAATCAAGTCATTGTTTCTCTGCTCACTTGCCTTCTTGAATTTCAGTAGATACCTTAGTGTTTTGTTGAGGCTCTATTACACTTTCAGTATCAACTGTAATACTATAATTAAATCCTGCTGCTGCAAGGTATTAGGAGAAAAAGAAACAAAGACCTGCGTTTTTCAGATTAGAAGAAATAAGCCTACAATGAAAGCTGATATGAGGAGAGTGCAGGTAATAGTGAAGGCCGTTCTAGATGTGAAAGCTTTGTGTGCCATCCAGCTTGTAAACAGTAAACAGTCATTTCACAACCAGGGAATCCTAAGTATGCTCTGCAAAGTGTCAGCTTCCACCTGGAGTACTGGTCGATTGGATGAAGAGAAGGGGGCATCTCCAGAAGCTAGAGTAGGCTAACGGAAATAGAAAGTTGAGGAAATACAAGCGGCTAACAAGTACTTGGTTTTCCTAGGGACTCAGGAAGCTTAGTATAAAAGGGATGACAGGAGGTGGGCAGGCCACACAGCGGCTGTGTTAGGCCAACATTGAGACTTCAGCCGAGAGGGGGTGGGGGCAGTTTTGCAGCAGCTTGTTGACAGCCTTTACTCTGCGTGCCCACAGGTCTCTGTCTGCTTGGCACCAGTGTCCCATTGGTCTGATCATGACTGATCAGTCGAGTATAGTCCCCCTCTTCCCCATCTCCAGCCATCGTGACTTTCATTGCTCTAGATTGTACAAATACAGGAACATTTACAGTCTATGGGACTTCACAGAGCCATATCTACTGTTCCCTAGAGTTCACTGTACTTCCCAGGGATCGTTAGAGCCTAGTGTTCTGATTCATAATCCTGTGTCTGTCTCCCTTAGTGAGGCTCATTAGGACGCAGATTCAAAGTCCTGACCTGAAGTTTAGTCGTATTGGTTTGTTCTATGTTAAATTACTGAGAAAAGCTTTGGGGTTGGAAGCGGGAAATGGCACTATGGGTAAAGGTGCTTGCCATCAAGCCTGACAGCCTGTGTGTGACCCACAGTGTCCACACAGTGAAGAAGAGAACCAAACCTGCAAGTTCTCCTCTGACCTCCACACTGGCACGTGTGCGCACGCACATAGACACACAGTTTATATAAAGATTTAAAATGGTTCACAGCCTAGAAAGATGATTCAGTTGGTAAGTTGCTTGCCAGTACAAGCATGAGCAACTGAGTTCAGATCCCACTTTTTTTTTTTTTTTTTTTTTTTTGTATGCATTGGTTTTAAGGGTATCGGATCCACTGGAACTAGAGTTACAAACAGTTGTGAGCTGCCATGTGGGTGCTTGGAATTGAACCCTGGTCTGCTGGAAGAGCAGCCAGTGCTCTTAACTACTGAGCCATCTCTCCAGCCCCCAGAGCCCACATTTAAAAAGAAAAAAAAAAAACCTACATGTAGTGTTGAGTGCCTATAACCCCTACACTGTAGGGGGTGTGGGGAGGATGGGGCTGGGAGATCCTAAAGCTCCTTGGCAGCCTAGCCAGCTCTGTGATCTGCAGGTTAGGTGAGAAAATAAGGTGAAGAGTGATAGGAAAGGTGCCGTCTTCTGGCCACCCGGGTCACCATACACAACAAAGAAGAATGAAGGCTTAGGGCCGCCAAGGTGGTTCTGTAGGTAAAGGGACTTGCCACCAAGCCTCACAAGCTGTTTGATCCCCAGAATCTACATAGTAGAAGAAAACTGACTCCCCAGAAGTTCAGCTGTGGTGTACTCATGAGCATACCTGTGCATGCACACATACACTAGATAAGTAAACAAACGTAAGAAGAGAAGTTGTGTGGAAGACAGCTGCAGCTGGAACTTGAGAGCTTGAGAAGTTTGGACAGTTAGTGTGCTGGTCACTTGGAGTCTTCTCCAGTCTGTCGGCAGTACAGTCGGCCGTGGAACTGACTGTTGACACCTGCTTTCTGCTTGCCTGTTTTTCATAGTTACAAAAATTCATACTCGTCTTTACCCCACTGTTCCCATCGTTAAAGATAAATAATGCTTTTTCTTTGTGATCTCAGTTCGTCCATGAGAGTTAAGTAACTGGATTCTTATTCCAACAGGGAAAATCACGAGTCGGAAAAGCCAGCACTAAACAACATAGCAGACAACACAGTCGCCATGGAGGTGACGTAGCTTCCTGGGAACAGGACTGCAGCCTGGGGACATGATCAGGTGCTATGCATCAGAGGCGTTGGAACGCAGGGGAGGATGGAATGCACACGCGTTTCCATGGCAGCTGTGGGGACTCGGCAGCACTGCGCATCTCTCATGCTTCAACTTTTCTTTTCTTACTGTTAATAGGAAAAAATCAACATCTGTAAATTAAGAATGCAGCAATTATCTGTATAGTACTGCATATTTGTAATACCCTTGTATATATGTTACTTGAATACAGAAATGTTCATTTGTGATGCTTTGCACTTGGGGGCGGGGGGTGGGGAACAAACTGCAACAAGAGTGTGAGCTGTGAGCTGTGTAGCTGGTGTCATCACATCATGTGCATGGTGCGGAACCTGCTGTCTATTTATTGTGCCGTGTTTACAGGTTTTGTACACTGTACCCTCATTGGTTCCTGTGCTGTAGTAAATGTGTTAGGTAGCTGTGGACTCCTTGGTATTTTGTAATGGTATAACATAACTTGGTTCCCTCTGGGTCCTTGAGTTTTTTGTGTATCATGTGAAAAAAAAATGGTGACATACATACAGAATTTTACAAAAAAAAAAAAAAAGCATCAGTTTTTTAAACGGGGAATGTACTGTTCAATGGGGATCTTCCGGTCTACACCATTAGGACGCGCAACAAGCTAAAAATGAAGTCTCTTGAACCCTCCCGTCCCCACCGCCTGCATGTGTGGGCGGCCCCTGGTACTTAAGCACTAATGTTATGTTGCTGCTCTGCAAACAGCCCAGTCGTCCCATTTCCTTCCACACCAAAAAGTGTTAAATCAAGTACGCAAACGGAGTCCTTACAACTGGAGTTTATGTTGTCTTGCCCTTTTTTTAGCACAAAAAGATGTACTTTTTTTATTGTGGAATCGTTTGAAGACTTCATTCTTTACTTGTTCTTACAGAAAGGGTATAGGGGAGAAGAATGCAGTAATTGCTGTCCGTGTATCGTCATTCCAGTTTGTAAAACAGCCAGCCAGCTTTTTTCCTTTTAAGATTCTCCAGAAGGCTGCAAGGCCAGAGCCACAAATATCGGGTGCCTTCCTTTGGAAATATTTGACCTCTCTTCTGTGAAGAGAACGGTACTTACCAGACTACTACTAGTGCTTTGTCAGTACCGAAGTCTGAATGCCCAGTCCAATGGCATACGTTATCCTTAAGGTTTTTAATCCCACCTGGAAAATTGTGATAGAATTCTCACAAAATAAACCCAGGGCATTACATGTTGACAAACTAACGTGCAGTGGTCTTTGGCTTTTATTTCCAACCCCAGAACTCTGTGTGACTTTCCGTTATTTCAGTAAAGGGGCTTGCTTAGAAAAGGAGGGAGGGGGACTTGATGTTTTCAGTGGTTATTTTAACATGACTGTTTGCCTACATCAGTGAAAGAAATCCCCGCCCTCGATTTATAATCTCATGGAGGTGAGAAAAACTGAGATCTAAAATGTGTCATACCTAATAGGAAGCAAAGAGGGAAAAGGCAGGGCCAGTGAGTGAGACTAGAAAGCCGAGGGTGCTCACCCTATCAGGCTGGGTCAGGCAGTGGCTGAAGCTGCTGTGCATCGGGTTGAGAGGGAGCAGAGGGCAGGAACAGCAGCAGTGTGTGGCACAGAAGGGCTGGAGATGGAGCTCTGCATGCAGGCGAAGACTCTGCCTCTCTTCTCTACAGAAAAGAACTCAGAGCAGAGGAGTTGTAGTGCCTCACTGACCAGACTAGGTTTCTGGGGAGCTCCTGGTAGTGACCACAGTGGTTCAAGGGATAACCTGAAGTGGTTGGGTCTATTTCTGGTTTTAGAGGGACCTGTTAGAAGTTGCTTACTGGCCACATGCGGCACATGCCTGCAGAGGCAGGAGGCTTTCTGTGAGTTCGAGTCTAACGTGGTCTATAGAAAGAGATACTATCTCAAAGTAGAAAACACTTGCTTAATGAATCTGTTCAGTAAGGAACTTAAGAATGACCTCAAAGGTGCAGTAAGGACAGGAGTTTGGCTCCCAGAATTCAGGTACACACCAGGATGACATGTGCTTGTCATCCCAGGGTCACTGCTCAGCTGGACCAGCCTACTCTGGGAACTAGGCCATGGGGACTAAGAACATGAGCCCCATCTGAGGGAGCCCTCTGGCCTCCACATAGACATATAGACAAAACTTAAGTTCAAGATATTTTACCTGAGCAGATGGCCGTGGTTTAAAGTAATTTAAGAGAAAGTAGGTCTGGGGAATTAGGAAAGTTTGAGATACTCAACATCCAAGCCAAGATGAAAGCATGATGTAGAAACAAGTGGGGTTGAGCTGGGGGGTCTCTGGTGATGTAGAAACAAGTGGGGTTGAGCTGGGGGTCTCTGGTGATGTAGAAACAAGTGGGGTTGAGCTGGGGGTCTCTGGTGATGTAGAAACAAGTGGGGTTGAGCTGGGGAGTCTCTGGTTGCAGTTGGAGGCATAAGGGGCATGAGAAGACTGCAGCTATAGTGGCAAGGCAATTTGGAGTTGATTTTACCTCAAAGGAGAAAGCAAAGGTTTGCCTTTCTATTCCGGTGTCTAGTCAGTATGACTGAAAACCATCTATAAACTGCCGGCATAAGTGTGCTGTGGAATAACCAAGGTCAGGATCAGTATTTCTCAAGTCACACTGCAGATATGATGAAGCCAAGGTCCTCAGAAGCCTGCCTGCTATGTCCACAGGCAAATTTGTAAGTGTTCTGGGGAACGAGGAAGTGAGTCCTAGCTCTTGGGCTGCTACTTGACAGGTAGTGGTTGTGGTCCACACAGCATCTTCTGTGCGTCACAACTGAGATTCAGGGACCATACAAACTAATATGCACATTTTCTTAAAAGGGGGTGCCTTCAAAACAAGTTTGGGAGACCCTACACTGTTTCCCGCACTTCTGCCACCATGTTGTAAGAGCACAAAATAAATAACACGGTGGTAAAAGAGCAGCTTAAGCAAGGGCCCTGGGGAGAGCAAGGAAAGGTCGCAGTGACCCATGGTCCCAGGCTGCAACTCACTCCCGCCAGGCCCCAAAAGTGGCAGTGTTTGTCTGTTCAGTGGTTAGACAGATGCAGTTTCCCTGGTAACCATCCTTACCATGGTTACCAAGGTAACCGCAGAAGACACTTATCACTAAGCTTTGGTCCGATTGATGAACAAGGTCCCCAGATACCTCACAGACACTGACTTTTACCTAAGTAAAGTAATTTTGTTCTCTTTTAAACTCCAAATTATAAGTGTTTGAGGTTTTGTTGTTTGTGAGTTTTTTTTTTTTTTAATGAGGAGGGTTAATTCAAAAATAACAGCAACAGAGAACTAGACAAACAGCACATCAGGCCAGCAATTGCATAGTAACTGTGTCAGGTGCTCCTGTAGATGCTGAGACAGGAGTCAGCCCCAGCTCCCACACTGCCTACATTCTGGTAGGCTCTGTGACAGATTAGACAAGGCCAAGTAAAGCGCCATTATATTAACATTACTAAGTTGAAATCAGAATATTTTAACGCTATCACTTTCTTAAGTTTTTTCAGGTAAATGCAATGCCCAGTCTCTCTGTAATTATGGACTACATGGCTGAATAACACAGGTGATAATTCCAGAATATTCTGGATAGGTACAAAAACTAAAAGCGGGGGATGGTCTCCATCTGTAGTTCTATAAAAGAGTAGGACCTCTAGTATTGCAGAATTCTGGTGTTACGAAGGCTGTCTTGCTTTTCTGGGTGCGGGCAGGTGTACACGTGGTGGGGTTCTGTATGAGTGTGGGTACATGTGGGCATGTGTAGTGGTATTTTGTTTGTTTTAACAAATAAAGCTTACCTGAAGATCAGAGTGCAGAGCTAAGCCACTAGAGGCCAGGCAGTGGTAGCACAAACCTTTAATCCCAGCACTAGGGACGTGGAGACAGGAGTGATATGACTGGGTGGAGAGAGGAGACGTAGTCTGAGGGCAGATCACCCCTTTAGTCTGAGCATAGGTAGAGGTAAAAGGGCTCTAGTGGCTGGCGGCTCTGCTTCTCTAATCTCTCAGCTTTCACCCCCTAATATCTGACTCCGGGTTTTTATTAAAAATAATTAGAATTCATGCTACAGGTGTGGGTGGGGGAGTGGGCATGGTGTGCATATGTGTGGAGTGGTTATGTAGCAATGTACATATGCACATGGAAGCCAGAGTTCAGTGTCCTCTCCAGTATTTAGTATTACTTCATTTGAGTGTGGGTGTGCGCATGCCATAGCATGTGTGTAAAGAACAACTTGAAGACTGGGTCTCTCACTGAACCAAACACTCGCAGATTGGCTAGGCTGGTGAACTCCAGGATCTCGTCTCTGCCTCTCTGGCATTACAGTCTTAGGCCACCACATCCAGCTGTTAAGGGTGTGCTGGGGTTTCGAACTCATGACCTCATGCTTGCATGGAAGGCCTTTCCTGACAACCATCTAGCATGCTGACACCTTTATTCCACCCGCAGTAACATGGCTACACATTTAATAGCTTCCAGCACTCTCCAGCCAAGGAAAACTGAAGACAACACAAAATAATTTTTGGTAACTTGATTGCACCATGTGTATGAGCTTTATGAGTGGCAGCATTGTGTCAGGATGTCAAAGGTTGGACATGCCTCGCAAAAATGTGTTTTCTCTCAGTTCTGGAAGAAGCCCTAAGTGCTGAATACATTTATTTCACTGTGTTTGAAATCAAGGTAACTGCAGTCCCACACCTCTGAAGTAGCTAAGCCTCATGTCTTGTCCAGCTGCTGGTGGCTAACTGGCATCCCTGTATTTTCCCATCGCCTTTTCTGGTCTCAAAGCTCCCAATGCCTAATCTCTCCTGTAATAACCCCACCCCCTCTCTACCCCAGCCCTGTATAGTGCTGCTAACTGGGCACTTAGAGAATGTTCTCAATAATCTTCATATCTCAATCAATCAAGGCCCTTGGGGATGATTCTGCCTACATGTTAGACCCTTCACCTGTGTGGTCCTAACATCCCACATACACATAGTGGCACCTTCACCTCAATTCATGGGTCACATACATGAAATTTGACAGCCTTGCTAATGAATGTATGTTGGGTGAGTATGCTGTTTGGCCATTCCTGTGATTTTCAAACTTAAAAACTTTCTAACAGTAAAAGCCGTTTTAATTGTAAGTTTGTATTTGTGTGTGCACGAGCATGAGTGCCCAAGTCAGAGGACAGCTCTCCCAGTGGGTGGGCAGACTTGGGTCATCACCCTTGGAAGCAGGCACATCTCACAGGCTCAACATGGCAAAACTTTTATTGAAAGAATCCATATCTAGAAGTCTGATATATAAAACAGAAAGGAGCAGCTCTGTTTTAGTTCATGTCAGTGCTTCCCACCCATCATAAAATTATATGTTAATAATACAAATGATCCAGTCAGTTAAGATTGCTTATTGCTCCTACAAGAGAACGTGGGCTCAGTTCCCAGGACCCATGTCCAGCGTCTCACAACCACTCCCAACTCCAGTTCCAGAGGCTCTGGTTGGTACCTTCTTACTGACTTCAAGGGCACATGTGCACATACCCGCATCACACACACACATACACATAATTAATAGTTAAGAGCACCAGCTGCTCTTCCGGGGGACCTGACACCATCACACAGACATACATGCAGGCAAGACAGCATTTCACATAAAAATAATATTTTTTATAAAAGGGAAGACTGAGCTGGAAAGGATTGCAGCTCGGATATAAGTGGGACCAGAGAAGACGCTTGCAGTAGATACTTCACACAGCATCCACTCACTTACCCTTGCCTTTGCCCTTCCACCGTGTGGGGGGTGCAGCCCTTATCGGGTGACACAGCCTGCTGACACTAATCTTAACTTGCCAGTCTCTAGAAATTTAAAAGCAATTTTCTATAAAATTTCCCCAGTCTCAGGTATTTTGTTATGGCGGCACTGACTGGACTAAAACAGCCATTTCCACGCTGGAATGTCAAGTTGACGAGTCAATCAGCTGGCTAGTTTTTGTTGTTTTTGTTTGTTTTGTTTTCGTTTTTCGAGACAGGGTTTCTCTGAGTAGCTTTGGAGCCTGTCCTGGAACTTGCCTTGTTGATCAGGCTGCGTCTCTCGAGTGCCGGGATTAACGGTGTGCGCCACCATCGCCCAGCTTGCTGGCTAGTTTTGTGTCAGCTTGACCCAAGCTAAAGCCAAGAAGTCTAGAGTAAAGGGTGCGTTAATACCAGACACAGATTACAAAGTAAAGAACATGGCTTGGGAGCTAG